GCAGGCAGTAGAAAGCAGTCTGTCTCACTGAGTGTGGCTTGAGCATATGTGAGACCTCAAATCCTGCCTCCACAGTGACACTTCCTCCAACAAGGCCATGCCTACTCCAACAAGGCCACACCCACTCCAGCAAGGCCATACCTCCTAATAGTGTGATTCCCTTTAGGGCCATTTTCTTTCCAACTGCCACAGTGTTGTAAAGGGAAAACTAGAACAGGGTGATTCATGAGCAGGAGAATGGAAGGCAGGATAAAGGAGGGAATATAGGGAAGGATAACTAACTTTAAAGGTCTTTTGATTTTTATGATTAAGTCTTTGATTTTTTTTAATGAAAGGTCAAGTACTGGATAACAGTCAGTTAGTTGAGTAGGACTCAATCATTAGATCTATTTGGAGAATGATGGGATGATGTCTACAGCCTCTGAGTAAGGTGGTCAACCATGAATTTCAATCACACCAGTGATGGTAGGATCCAGCAGAACTAGTAAAATTTTGTCCGAGTTCAGTTATGGGGAGTCATTGGGGTTAGACCTAGAGTGTAACTCTCAGTATTTTCTGTCCCGTTGGTCCCCCTGAACCGGTTTCTCTCCACCCACCAGGTCCTGCTCACTAGCTCCGGCAGTCACTTATGAAATAGCCATTCTGAGATTTATTATTAGTTACAATTGTCTGACCAATGTCTTAGGCTTCTTACTGGATGGTGGGGTCTTGTTCCATCAAACCACATTAGCCTGGAAGGAATCCACAGGTTCCCATCTTCTGTGTAAACAAAAGAAGGACCTCTTTTCCAAAGTAACATATCCTTAGACTGAAATTTTGATTTGAGTTTAAATTTTTAAAGGTGAAGATATCTTTAAAATATATATGTTGGTTTAGCTTAGCAAACCCCAGAATCAAATGTTTTTCAGCAGTTAACTCATTAACAGTCAGAAAATTTTAAAGAAAACACAATAATATACATAATCCAGACTCTGTATATTTTCCATCTTTATGTGGCTTTTTTTGTTTTACATTATTTTTACTGTCCCTTAAAGACCTTGTCTTATTTTAAAAAGTATTTCTTTTTATAACTGTCTATACTTCTTTTCCCCTCTCTCCCAAGCCTACATACATTTTTAAAGCACACTGTGACTCATTTAGAGGTCTTTTATATCTAAATCTTTCCTATTGTGTATCTGAAATTCCTTTTCTGACCTTAAAAAAAAAACAAAAACAAAAAAACCTGGCCTTTTTTTTTTTTTTTAAATAGTAAGCAGCTTGATTGTTGAGGCCCTGGATGTTGGTTTTGCCTCTCTCAGCCTTTTAACATGTGCCCCAACCCGTGGGTAAGTCAACGAAGACCCTAGAGGGGGAGTGAGAATAGAAAGGGACAAGAGACACAAGAGATGGAGCAAGACAGGATTCTGATAAAGTCCCGTTTATTTAAGGGAATAATCAAGGTGAATATAGGGTAAGAGAAATGAGAAAGCTCTTCGTGTGTATATGGGTAACTAGGCAACTTACTAGGCAACCTAACCACGGTCTAATGGTCAGGCAGAAAGTCCTTAGTTGCAACATGCAGAAAAGTCAGAATGTTCAGAACACAGGAACAATAGAGCAATAACTCCTGACAGAGTTAGTGTTTGACAGATCAGAACAGCAGGAGAAGCCAAGCGCAACAGAGTGGGCGAAACTGATCCAGGGAGCAGTAAGTCTCCCACAAACATGGTGGAGGTACGTTCATTTCCAGCTCTGGGACTTCTGGGTGGGATCCGAGCTCACTACCTCAACTCTGGGAAGAAGTGTGCAACACACAAACCCTTTTTTTTCTGAGTAAAAACTAAATCTGCCATGCAGCGTGCTGCGTGGCCTGGAAATGTCTCTGTGTACGGTGGTGGGAATCCGCCATGCTCTCCTGTCTGTGAACATCTAGCAGACCCGATCTGCCTGCCTTCCTGCGTAGGAAGTGTTCTCAGTTACTTTTCTCCTGACCCCGAGCAGCTGTACAAGCACCCAGACTTGAAGTGGGTGGTGGGCCTCACGGGTTAGCCCCAAACATTTGGGTGCCAGATGACACTGTCAGTATTCTCCATTCCGCTGGTCCCCCCTGGACTGGTTTCTCTCCACCCACCAGGTCCTGCTCACTAGTTCCTGCAGCCACTTATGAAATAACCACTCAGTTGCAATTGTCTGGCCAATGTCTTAGGCTTCCTTCCTCTTCTTTCTCCTCTTCCTCTTCTTCTTCTCCTCCTCCTCCTTCTCCTCTTCCCCCTCTTCTTCTTTTTGGTTTTTCAAGACAGGGTTTCTTTGTGTAACAGTCCTAGCTGTTCTGGAACTAGCTCTTGTGGAGTAGGCTAGCCTTGATCTCACAGAAAAGGAACGACATGAGTCTGGAGCTGTCCTGCTTTGCAATTGCATTGTAAATTTAACCCATTTTACTCAAGCATTCAAATTTCCATAACTTGTTTTTTTCTTAATATACCTAATTTGAATATGATTTTACATAAAAATATCTTTTAAGTTTACTTTAAACTTATTTTGAGTTACTTCCTTTAGGCTTAACTTTGACAGCATATACAAACACTTCCCTTTGTTTAAACAGTTTACAATAAGTCAATGACAGATAAAAATAAAACCATGAAAGCTTAAAGCAAAGTCACAAAAGGTCTAAGAAAGTTATACTAAGTTAGTGAAAAATAGGACTTAAGGTTGGTCTGTTTGATGATTAAGATTTTAAAATTCTGCTGGGCAGTGGTGGCACACGCTTTTAATCTCAGCACTCGGGAGGCAGAGATAGGGGTAGGTGGATCTCTGTGAGTTCGACGCCAGCCTGGTCTACAGAGTGAGTTCTAGGACAGGCTCCAAAGCTACTCAGAGAAAACCTGTCTTGAAAAACCAAAACTAAAACAACAACAACAACAAAAGATCCACCTACCTCACCTCCTGAGGTGAATTTCTTTACATTGGAGATAGGCATGGTTTTTTCCCTGGAGTCCATGTCAATACCTTAAAAGACTAGCTACACCAGGCTCTTCTGTCTTCCCGTAAGTCAAAGTCATCATTGTATTGTATATCTTAGAAGCAGAAACTAAAATGGAATTTTGGCAGCCCTTAGCTATTAGAGTGCTCTTGGGAACATATAAAGAAGTGAGGGACAGAACAGGCAAAGCCAAGGGGCCACCTGTGTCCAACAACAGGTGGTGTCACAGCTCTATGTCACCTGCAGCACTTTGAGGGATCCTTGACTTCCACATGGGAATTTCAGGATGAGCCAGTATGGAGCAGAGTTCACTGAAGAAAGGCGCTTAGGAAAAGAGTTAGGCACCCATGAGGGTTGGGAGCAGTGAACCCCCAGATCCTGAATTTCTTGTAAACCACTTGACTTCCTCTGCTCTGAGACAGCCTGCAAGCTGCTTTGAGCATGAGACCCTCAGGAGTTCCTGAAGGCAGGGGAATGGTTTTTGGTACGTTTGGCTGGGGCATGGCTATTAGTTAAGGATCCCTATATAAGCTGCCCCTGAACACAATAAAGGGGGCATTCTTGGGGCTTTCTTGTTTCAAGGATGACCCGTGTCTCTCTCGTCTGTGAATCTTTGTGTGTTTCAATCTCCAGCCCCTTGCCTAGTTCATGAACTCTATGGTAGCGCATAGAGCACAGACAGGCGTGGGTGCACTACACCTGAGAGCATGAATGTGGCTAACAGTGGCGACTCAGAGAAAAGTCTTCCCAGGATCCAGGTGTACCATTGTAGTGGTGCTCAAGACAGATCGTAAAGATGCTAAGTAAGCAACTGTTGGGATGATAGGGCAGCATTGGCGGTTCCCTAGATGGGTTTATAGCCTGAGCAAGTAAAATCAAGAGCCATTAAGGTTCCACAAGGAATGGCTTTTCCTTTATTAATCTAAGTGGACAGAGTGACTTCTCACTGGGAAATCATTTCTGCAATACCAAACAAGGCCACAAATGTTCTTAACTGTGTCGGAACTTTTTCTGAGTTGGCAAGAGGCTTCATCCAGGCTTGAGAGGGAGGGCTACTTTTAAAATTTATTTAGTTTTATAATTAGTACACAAAGCAATGGGTTTCATTATGGCATTTTTTATTTATCTATCTACCTATCATTTATTGATCGATTGATTGAGACAAGGTTTCTCTGTGTAGACCTGGCTGTTCTGGAACTCATTCTATAGACCCAGAGAGTCACTTGCCTTTGCCTCCTGAGTGCTTGGATTAAAGGCATGTGCCACCGTCGCCCATCCTCCACATTTATAAACAATTTTTGTTGACCTCTTTTTCTACGGCCTCCCTCCAGGGGGTTTCTACTTTCATATCACATGTATTCTATTGCTCATTCTCACCTCCAGTGATTTTTTTAATTGTTATTTTCCATTCCTAAGACATCTTCCACTTTTCTCATGGTCTCCTTTCTAATTAGTTTTATGACCTATAAATTCCATGTGTACACAAACATAAAAATTAAAATCTATGGCATGTATATTATAGAGACTCATGGTGATTTCTTTTCTGAGTTTGGATTATTTAATATAATAATCTCAAAATCCATAAATTTTCTTGAAAAAATTATGGCTTTGTTTCTCTCTGTGGCTGAATAAAATTCTATTGTGTATACTTACCTGGTAGGGGAGAACCCATGATTCATGAATGATGTAGGATTCCCCTCTGTATGCTATCAATGTTTTATTATTGATTATTAGTCAATAATACCAATGATTATTAAGGAAGCTGTTTCGGCCAGTAGCTTATTAGAGTAAAGCCAGGAGGGAAATCTGAACAGAGATATAGAGAGAAAGTAGGTGGAGTCAAGGAGATGCCATGGAAAAAGACGCCAGTCACCAGCCAGAACCTTACCAGTAGGCCACACCCTTGTGATGATTCACAGATGAATAGAAATGGGTTAATTTAAGATGTAAGAGTTAGCTAGAAATATGCATAAGTTATTGGCCAAATAGTGTTGTAATTAATATAGTTTCTATGTGATTATTTCAGGCCTGGTCGGCCAGGAAACAAACAAGCAATCTCCACCAACACATGAAGGTGGTTTTCTCATGGGAGGCTCCTCCATTGCACTCCAGATGTGACAGCCCTGTGACTTCCTCAAATGGGAAACTTGAATACATAATTTGTGGTAGTGGAAGACTGAATTCATACTATTTCCTGAATTTTTGGGGGCGAGGGGTTTCTGAGACAGGGCTTCTCTGTAGCTTTAGAGCCTGTCCTGGACTCGCTCTGTAGACCAGGCTGGCCTTGAACTCACAGAGATCCACCTGTGCTGCATCCTGGGTGCTGGTGGTGTGCAACACAACCCAGTGAAATTTTTTTTAAAAATTCTATTGTGTATATGTACCACATTTTCATCTTCCATTCATCTCTTAATGAACATCTAAACTGGTTCCATTTCCTTCATATTGTGAACAGTCCTGTAATAAACTTGGATATACACAAGCATTTCTATGGTAGAATTTAGAGAGTCATCTCTTTTTTTGTTGTTTGTTTTTTGAGACGGGGTTTCTCTGTAGAAAAGTCATCTCTTTTACTTTATAATCTAATTTAAAAGCTTTTCTTAATGACTCATGTATTATTCTACTCTCACTAAGGAGATCAACATGAAAAAATTTTTCCTCTAATTTTCTTTTATTGAAAATATTTTTTAACCTTTACACTAGTGGCTAGACTTACATTTACTCATTCATTCATTTTTAAAATATAATAAAGTAAAATATAATAACACAAAAATATCACATTGAAGTTGGACAAGACAAACCAATAGAAGGAAAAGAGCCCAAGAGAAGGCACAAGTATTAGAGACCACTCATTTGCAAGCTTAGTAATCCAATAGTAACACTAAACGGGAAGCTATAACTAATAAGCACAGAGGAGCTGGTGCACAGCTGTGCACGACCTTTGCATGCTGCTTCAGTCTCTGTGAGTTCTTATGAGCTTTGCTCATGTTGATTTGGAGGGCCTTGTTTTCTTGGTGTCCCCCATCCCCTATGGCTCTTACATTCTTTCCACTTCCTCTCCCACAGGGTTTCCTGAGCTCTGAGGGGAGGGATTTGATGGAGACATCCCTTTTAGGACTGAGTGTTCCAAGGCCTCTTTCTTTGTTCTGTAATGTTTAGTGTTTTGATTATTATGTGCCAAGGGACTTCCTTTTCTGGTCCAGTCTGCTTGGTGTTCTGTATGCTTTTTGTACCTTGATAGACATCTCCTCCTTTAGGTTAAGAAAATTCTATAATTTCTTCTGAAAATATTGTTAACAGTATTTTTGTGCCTTTGACCTGTGTTTTCGCCTCTTCCTCTATTCCTACTATTCTTAGATTTGGTCTTTTCATAGTGCCCCAGATTTCATATTTTGTTCCTGGAGTTCTTTAGATTTAATAATTTTTGACCAATGTATTTATTTATTTCTTCTATTGCCTGACATTCTCTCTTCCATCTCTTGTATTCTGTCTCTGTAGTTCCCATTCCAAGTTTCTAAAGTTTTCATTTCCAGATTTCCCTCAGTTTTGGTTTTCTTTATTGATTTTATTTC